TTCACTGAACAGTAACATCAAGTACTTGATGTACAATGAAGATCATTAATTTTTTTCAATTTAGTGGAAGATGTATACTCCTGCAGTATATGACATGCATTCATTCTTATCAAGAAATGTACTTCTTAAATCAAAAAGGGATGTTATAGACCTCTGTATGATAACAATGTCAACCAAAGGGAAGCACATATGCACAGCATCGTACTCCAGAGAGCAGCGAGTGTCAATTGCCCTTGCTAAGCTCTACAGACAGTGCTAAGACCTGATACAACAGTAATTTTATTAATCTGCTTGATGTCTGATACTGATTTGACATAAAATGTATCCTGCTAGCTTTAAGATCAGCGATACTTTCTTGTCATCAGAACAAGGGCTGTTCTACCCATGCACAGACTCATGGCTTGGTGAAAGTGTATGAACAGCCCTGTGATTGACATGCAGTTCAGCCTTGCAATGTTTCTATGCAGAGGTGAGTTAAAAGAGATGATGTGATCACCTTCCCCATTCTTACAAGTGGTAAGGTAGAACTGGGGGCACGAGAGGTCTTTGTAGGGTGTTAGTTCTAGATGCGTAACTATGAAATGTATAATATTCGACTTCAACTTTTTCATACCGCATATCCTAACGAAGAGCTCTGTTACACAGAGCTAGGATTAGGGACTGTATCTGAGCCAGGGTACAGCTAGATCTGCAATTTTTGAGGGCTTGGATTCAAACACAAGTTGTTGCAGCTTAGCCAGTTGCTGTGTGTCAGCTGAGCCAACAGCTGGGCCATGATACTGGACAGTGTACAGGCTGTTAGACTAGAGAACATTTTAACTATGATCTCTGTGAGAGAGGCTTGATAAGTGATATCTGTCAGGATTCTACCAGCAATTTGTTCAACAAGTACAACAATTTGTTCAACAAATGAGAAGTTTCGCAAACTTCTGAAACCATGAAGCATTATAACATGGGAAACAGATTAATAAAGTAGAATTGTAACACCAAACAGTTGGTTGGGAGATTTGTGAAAAAGCATGATCATTGAAAGCTTGAATGAAACAAGACAGAAAAAATATCCCTAAAGGTTTTATTTCGGTTTGGAAAAAAATTGGTGCTTCAATAACTTGTGGGATCACCACCATGTGTTATTGTGTTGAAATAAATGCAGGCATATGTAGAGTTAGAGTATGAATGTTGTTTTAATCCACAAGGGCATCAAGCTATAACTAACATAAATCTCTAAGTAGAAATCTTCACCGCACTGAACGTAATGTAATTTTTGGTATTTATTTCACTTGGATCAGAATTTTAGTCCTTAAAAATTCACTTTTTTAAGGCATAATCCCCATGTCCACTGACGCCAATGAAAGCTTTTCCATTGACTGTAACTGACCTTTCATTAGGGCAGCAGTTCCCTTACAAAAGACTGTTGTCACTGCTATAGTTCTGCAGACCTTCTTCAACATTATACTTGTTATGGTCACATTCTTGAAATTACTTTTGTCTCCTTTTATCTGTGATAGCATTAACAAGGCCTGTTTTTCAAAGTTGCTAATGGGCTGCTATGATCTGAAGCCATCAACAGCCCTCTTGATTTTTTCTGTGTGATTTTGTGCAACATTTTCTTCTTTGCTTGTTTTCCTCTTTGATGTCTTTGAATAACCTGGATGAGAGGGCAGGTCTTACTTTCTCCATTTTTTTATGGTATGTTGTCAGTGAATAGGTAGAGTAGCAGGTTTATTTGTGTTTCTTTTTACACTCAGATCTACCATTGCAATTTGAGATTCTTCTTGTTTTAATCTTTAAAAATTATTTTCTCTCCTGTAAAAATCAATCAAGATTTTTAGCTGCATTCTGCAGTCTTCCATCAAACATGACCTTTTTAGCTTGCTGCTTTCTCAAATTCTGCTTCTACTTTTAACAGGGCTTTCTAACCATCACTTCAGTTTCCAGCTGCTCTTCAAAATATTGCATAATATTGCTTTTTTTCCCATTGTAATCTCAAGCAATTATTTCCTATGTTGTACTGGCAAATCCCCTGCATTGTTTATTTTGGGGAACTGTAGTTCTGGGTTTTACCTTCTACAGCCAGTCTCTGCAAGTTCCTGAATTTTAGCTCTAATTTAGTTTTAACTAAACCAGGATAATTTTCTTTTTCTAGTTTGGTTTGAACTTGATTTTCTAGGATGGACAAGTTGCTATGAAGTGTTTCGGAGTTTTGCAATTTCTTTCTCTTGGTTTTTCTACAATGTTTTTTGCCAAATGCTAGAAAAGTCAAGCATCTCTCCGGACAAAGATATGAACGACTTCAGCTTCTGCGGCATGTATAATGGGCAGGTATATTTCCCGAGCTATTCCCAAGTCTAATTTAAACTTGAAGATCTTTCATTCAGAGCATGAGTTTCAACAACCTGAAAAGACAATTGTAAGTCCTGTACCTGGGATGGACTGATTCCCTGCAATGGTACAGGCTGGGGACTGACTGGTGGGGTTGCTGCTTTGTGGAAAGGGACGGGTGTCCTGGTGGACAGTATGCTAAGCATGAGTCAGCAGTGTGCTCTACGGGCTGTACTAAAAAGTGTACAGCCAGTAGATCACAGAAAGTCATTATTCCCCTTCACTCATCACTCTTCAGATTGCATCTGGAATCTAATTCTGGGCTCCCAGCACAGCAAATATATTGACAAACTTCAGTGAGCTTAGCAGAGGTCTGTCAAGGTGGTGAGGAGCTGGAGTACTTGCCCTGTGAGGAAAGGCTGTGGGACCAGGCTTCTTCAGCCTGAAGAAGAGGTGGCTTCAGGGGTACCTAAGAGCATTCCTGTGAGGAGGTTACTGCAAAGATGGAGCCATGAGCTGCACAAGCAAAACAGGGAAATACCAACAGGAGAGAAGGAGAAAAAAAAAATCACTGTGAGGATAATTAAGTTCTTATTAAGGATGATTGGAACAGGCCACTCACAGAAGTTGTGGAAAGTCTGACTTTGAAAGTTTTCAAGATCAGCTAGACAAAATGCTAAACAATTTTCTTTGAGTCAGTGTTGATCCTGTTTTGAGCATGAGGTGGGAGTAGATGATGTCCCAGAGTCCCTTACAACCTGAATGACTGTATGAACATCTTGTTCCTATAAGTCAAGAGAACAACTATACATAAAATATATAAACAGCCTCATCTATTGAAAAAAAATTAGCCTAGCAAGAATAATTATGCTATAGCCACACAGCCAAGTTTGGATACCCACTGATAACAGGAGAAAGTCCCTGTGTTTATAAAGCTTGCAATCCAATCAGCTAAACTGGACATACAGTTACAGCAGGAACACAAGCAGGGTGAAGTGATTTTCTACAAGTCATTCCTGTCTCCAGGGTCTGCTGAGTCCTAGTCCAGTGCCTATACACTGGACCATGCTGCACTCACACTGTCTGCACAGGTCTCTCAGTTTTCTGAAGATGCATGTTTCATAAAGCATATTCTATTTCAGAGAGAAGTGGTCATTCAGAAGATTAAGGTCTTTTTCAAATGGGATGTTCATCTCTGCCAGGTGGTATGTTAAGTCTGAATCATAAATATCTTTTATTTCCTCGGTCAGATAGTGCAGTGGAAGCGCAACTTGTCATTTTTGACTTCCAGTTTCAAGAGCATCAAGTAAGTTTCTGAATTTGTTCCTTCATTTCTGAGCAACTGACATATTCTCCTGGATATTAAACGCTCAAAATGTAAATGATGCAAAATCACTTTGTTTATTGTTTTGGATAGTTGATTTTATTTTTTTCCACAGAAATGTATCTAAACTGACCTTCTTATGCCAAATGCACTTTACCTTCTAGAAACTTCAGGGACTATTTGAAAGGTTTACAGAGCCTGATACTGTTGTTAGCTGCCATATATTAACAAAGAAGCAGTCCCTGTTCTCTTGTTTTTCAGTTGCAGTTATCCTCCTATCTTCCCTTGCAGATCAAGCAAGGTACTTTCAGACTGAAGATTTACACTGCCTTCTGTTGCAGTCATATGGTTCTGTAAAAGTTAATTAAATGTGGTTGTATTTGGGTTGCTACCCTTTTATTAGGAAATGCTAGCAGGACATGGTGCAGGGGGAGCAGATTTATTCAAATCTGGGACTCTGAATTTAAGAGGCAGTTTGCAGATAGTCTTTTACATTAAGAAAAACACACAAGTCAATCATAAACGCAGTCAGTCACTGAAACTTCCAAAGAATTATCTGGCTTCACTGCAGGCACAGATAAATTAGAGATTATGGGCCTAAGTCTTTTTTCGCACCAGGGTAAATCGGGAGCACCATCACTGAAGTCAACAGATCTCAACAAGAAAAGAATTAGGCCCTATGGCTTTTAATAAGCAGAATACAAAGAGCTTAATTACAAGGAAGCAAGCTGAACCTCCCTTCCCCCATACGCAGACATATGCATGTGGTCTCTGGTAAGGTTTCTCTCTTGTAACATTTTTGTACTTCTTTTATCCTTATCCTGATCAGACACTACCTGTGTGCAAATAACAGGGACTTAGATGCTATAGGGATGGGGGCCATTTAGATGTTAATACATGGGGTGATTAAAACACTGGTAGAGCTGTAGCTCAGTTCTGTTTTGAAAAACTTGGTGAAAACGTAAATATGTTGCAGTTTTTTACCTCCATGTTATGACTCAGAAATAAAAAACAAAGAGAGGAGTTCATTTTCTGTGCTAGGGAGGGAGTTTCTCACCTAAGCAATACTTCTTTGAAGGAGCAAAATAATGCACAGCATGTGTAAATGAACAGTTGCTGGAAACTCTGGTAAAAAAAATAAATTTTTATTTCCACATATGTGAACAATCTTATATGTCTATAAAAAGACTTAAAAATATATCATACAAAAAGTTATACTTGAGTCACCCTCTATGAAACCCTATAACAAAAAAAGCAGGTGTAAGATGAAGACCCCAGTTGTGGAATATAAATAATAGTTCAGGAACAATCAAGTGTCACGTCAGATTATTTTGACAAAAATGGAAGTACTTACAGTCTAAGTGACTATGTCTGATGCCTTCCACATCTTCAGCATGAATGAAGTGGTAACATCTCTTTCCTACGATATCTACAGGGGTCAGATCCATGTAATCACTAATCCTAAAAAGGAAAAAAAATACAGCCTATAATTCAAGCAGGAAAAGAATACAAGAACTGTCAAATGACTCAGAAAGTGAAATCTGCTAAAAAGTTTTTTTCACCACTGTAGTAATTTGAATGGAATATCTGTACAAACAAGACACAGCCCTAAAGAAAAAAAAAAAAAAAAAGAAAACGTTTTTTAAAGAAACCTTGAAATCATTTTATCCATTTAAATAAGTGGAAAGTTAAATTCTAGTGCATATTCTCCCCAGAGCATAACACCAAGACAATATAATTCCAGGAGATTGTAAAGCATTAGCAACAATCCAAAATCCTCATTAAAAGACCAAGATGATTCAACGTTACATAATAAAGTAAAAACATGTTATGTTTATACCAAATGATTAGAGACACATTTCATTTCAACAGATTGGTCTTCTATTGGGTATATTCATGAAAAAGCTCTTCAACCACTTCTTGGCACCAAGTCCAAACTGATATTTCAAGGGATATAATTTAAATGCTGAGACATACAGATGCCTCAGGGTGTTATCTTCTTTAGTCTAATTCATTTGGGAGCTCAGCTTTCACTCTGGGCCCTTTCAACTGGGACTTTGTTGTTTATTGCACATAGAAACTTTAAAATCTATTCTGCAGACCTTTGTGTATGTGCGTCTGTGTGTGTCTGTGTGCTTGTGTCTGTGTGCGTGTGTAAACTGTCATGGAGTGTCAAGATGTCAATGTCCTTAAATGCAGTACAGAAAATAACAAAACAATTGGAAAATTCCTTGCTCACACAAGCATTTAAAACTGTGTCTGTTTCCTAGAAATAGAATAGTTTTGGGGGGTTTGAAAAATGCTGCAATGATTGGGGTTAAGCCCACTTTGCAATTTTAAGATATAATTGCCTTCCATTTAAGGGTGTTGTGAGAAACACCAAACATCTTGATATAACCAGACAGCTGAGTGTGATCCTGAGGGAGGCCAGTGGGGAGGCTAAACCAGAAAGAGAACTGAGGGGATCCCAGCAGGCAGAGGGGGCAAACCCAGCTGCTGAGGCACCGACTAGCAGAGCTGTGTTTGCCTGAGTGTCTGAGACTGGGAGAATGCACAGACCAGAAAGACTGAAAGAGGATGGAAGTATTAGACAGCACCACAGCAGCGCTGGTGGTTTGTCCCAATTGAAAAAAAAAAAAAAATAAACAAACCCACCCAAAAACACCCAAAGAAACATGAAAAACATCTCAGGTAAAGGAGGTGAACTCAAATTTGCTAGTAAAAATTGTCAAATCAAGTCTAGCACAAAATGCAACAGCCTTCTCCCACTGTCTGAAGGATGTGCACTTTCAAACAACTGCCTAGTAGTTATAGCACTTAACCAAGTGTGGGATACCCATCTAATGTTTATCACAAACCCCTGTTGAAAAGCACCTCTCCTACCTTCTCAGGGACGACACAATTCACTAGGATAAAGACAAGTCTGGAACAGCGGCAGTGGGACTCCCTATCCCTCCTCCTGAGTTCTTCCACTTTGGCTGCACAGTGAATTATGGGCTGGGAAACAAAGGACCTGGGATCTTTGCCCCTTGATAAGAAACCTCACTAGAAGGAAAGGAGGCTGAGATTTAAAGGTTCCTGTCCCCTGGACTGTATATTATCTTTTTATACCAAACTAAGTGTACAAACAGTCCATGGAGTCGGAACCAGAACTCAAGTCTCTCCCCCTCACATGTCTGTACTCTCCTCAGTGGCACACTTTGCTGTCTCTTCTCTGGCCCAAGAACTGTGTCTTTTCTCTTAGGGGGTGGCTCTGCTTCAAGATCAGGGAGAAGAAATCCCATCTGCCCAGCCTAGTAGGAAGGGGCAATCTCCAGGCAGGCCACTGCCCTATGATGTACCCAGGCTGCGAGTGTTACAGTTCACAGGGTTAACATGGAAGATGATCACTCTGCTTCCACCTCTGGTAAATTTGGCTCAGCTGTATTTTGCTTCTCTGCAGCAGCATGTTTGTGTAAAGTCTTCACAGATAACAATGAACACAGCAAGACAACTGTGGAAGCAGATTCACAATCCCTTAAGTTTAAGTTGTGACAGGGGAGGTTTAGACTGGATATTAGAAAAATTTCTTCACCAAAAGGGTGGTCAAGCATTGGACTAGGCTGCCCAGGGAAGTGGTTGAGTCACCATCTCTGGAGGTATTTAAAAGACCTGTAGATGTGGCACTTAGGGACATGCTTTAGTGGTGGACTTGGCAGTGTTAGGTTAACAGTTGGACTTGATGATCTTAAAGGTCTTTTCCAACCTAAGTGATCCTATGATTCTATAATCTTAAGAAAAAGCGCTTTCAAACAGCCATATGAAGGACATAGGATTTTTTGTTTTGTTTTGTTTTTTGATGAAAAAAGTGGAAGAAGAAACAGAAAGAATATCCTGATGTAAGTGATGATGACTGGCAAGCAATGACAGCAAAACCAGAAGCAAAAGAAATTACATCAAATAGGACACTCATGCTTATCATTAAAAGTACCAAAGATGGAAAATAAATAATTGTCATGGAGAAAAGAAACAAATATTGTAGTATAACTTAGAGCACTAGTTAGAAGACAGATCTTGTGGCTTCCAAGTCCTTTGACAAAATAAAGCAACAGGTTGATGGTTAGGAATTCGGTTCTGCTGAATACACAGACCTGATCATGTTAAACATGAGCACAGGCTTACATTTGAGCAGATCAGTGGCTCCACTGACTTTCAGAATTGTTAACATGATTGAAATTTAAAGGTAGGTATACGGTACAGTGCTTTGCTGAATTAGAACCAAATTGTGCACACACTTGTAGGCTTGAGGCTCTCTACACAAGACTGTTTCTGCATATCTGATGGAACTATGGGCAGCCACTGTCATGGCCAACAGGCCAAACCTCTTCCATTTGGAAAACACCATATTCCCTGGGTTGTTTCCTTTTGGGCATGTGTTAGCAGATATGGCTATAGCAGTCCACATTAAACTGGGCTATAGGCTCTCTCCAGATGCTCTCCAATCACTAACAGTTGACACTGAAAATACACAGACTGATGCAGTACTCTAGCAGCAGTCTCTTTATTTTGCTTTTAGTTATTTATCACAGTCTAAGATGATTTGTTCTCTGCAGGTGCTTTTCTCACTCGACTGACTAATAAAGAAATTCTAGACTATCTTAGACTAGATGGTGAAGTTTAGATGACACGAATCTCACACTTGGAAGATAGACACGGATTAACATACCACATTTTAGGCAACAAAATTTTACATCCCATTTAACACTCTCAGAACAAAATATTAATTGTTGGAAATAGCCAATACACTAGCTAATGGATCTTGTCTCAAAGGGAAGCTAACTGTTGAATAGTTTTTGCACTGAGCCTAGGATTCTGATGCAGATCTCTTCATTCAGAGGAAAGTAACAAGATGCACCCAAAGACCTGAGTAATGTCACTCCTGCTCCCTGCTGTTGCAAGCAGGCAACCACTTGGAAAACTAGGAGTGCTATTGATCTCACCCCTGCTGATCCAATGGTCCACTGTGAGCATTCATTTCAGTTAAGTAGCATGGCTTCTGCTCTATACTCCCCACAGCTGCCAGCAACTCCCCATTGCTCCATAAATAGTGCTTACAGCTTCCCCAGCATGGATCCATTTTTCTCTGTTTTCATCAATGTTGTGCTTACTTTACTGTGGCACCACAAAGAATTTCCCATCTGCCCGCAAGTGGCAGGAGTCAAGCCCATATATTCAGGATAGGATACTTATCTCCTTTTCTAAAGTCCCAGAAGAGACATCCCAACTTTCCCGACTCAGAGAATGGCCTTGGCAAATGCCCAGATAATTCATCTGACAGCTTCAATCAGCTGTTCAGTTAAACTCTTCCCTTCTTTTGTCCTTTCCATTCTTCGAGCTTTTAGAGTCATATTCTGCTTTGTACCTGCTATGAAATCCAAGTCCTGTCAATCTTACTCCATTTTCCATCAGTAGAAATCCTGCTGCCTCAGTGAGCTAATATTCACCTTCCAGTCCCGGCAGAAGTGTTTCTACTATTTGAAATTCCTTTTATAAACTGTTTTTAACACTGACAGAAGGGCTTAAAATGGAACTATTGCTATATAAATTCAAGTACCATCATATGCATTCTACCTTAGCATATGAGATAAAATCCATCACAAAGAAGGAAAAGTTACTTTATAATGTTGTCTTTACCTTAATGAATGAAAAACATAAGTAAGTTCAACACTTTCGTGCATAAGTCAGCTAGTTTACCACGTGTTATCAGCTCCTTCCGTGTAATTACCAATCAGTGCTCCATGTCTGATGCATTTTACGTTTTTTAGTGATGCCTTTCTCAGGCATTTGAAAGTTTTATTGCTACATGTATGTAAAGGGAAGGTTTGAGAAAAATGTTTAATTAAAAAAAAAAACATACACAATGTAGGGCTAATAAAGATGCCAAACTGATTGCAGAGAAAGTATAAATCTTTCTAACATGGCCTACAAATTCATATCATAATTGACCTGAGGGAATAGTTCATTTTTCGTATCCATTTGATTCCTGGCTTTTTTATTGAGGTTGCCAGTGAAGGTAACAGTAAGTGCAGGTGATTTGTTAAAAGGAAATCTGTTCATTAGGAACTGGACAGATACCAGCAAGTCATTTCACAGAGGCTATCGAAGAGCTCTGCAGCGGTAGCAGCTTTCCATTACTACCTAGGCAGGTCACAGTCAAATCAAAGACAAAGACAAAAGGTTTCTTCTAGATCCTACTGCTACCCTGAGCTCTTTCACCAGCTGCCAGATTATACAGAATCTAGAAGCTCGTTGGGCAGAGTCACAGGCAAAAACTCAGCCCAAACTTTAATACTGTTACCAGCTTTCTCCGTGACGTTGTGCGAGTCACTTTCTATGGAGCAGTTTTTCCAAGCTTAAAAATGAGAATAATATATTCTTTTTTAGATAATGATTTGGAAGTTTAGATCAAGTGTTCTCTTGCCAAGTAATATTATTATTAATATTATAGTGGCAGTTTAGCAACATGACAGCAAAGATAACCTCATAACTGAAACCCAAGATTATTTTAAATTGTTTAAGGCCCTGATTCAACAAAGCATTTGAGTTTATCCCTTTTTAGAAAAGTTTATATTGATGTGTGCTATCCTGATCGTTATGACTGAGCAATTATGGTTGCTTATATCAGAGAGTTTCCACTCTTAACTTACAATATGCCCCAGCTGCTGTCACATGAAAAGCTTGCATTAGTCATCTTGTTTGATCCATTTTTTGATCAAACAAGTCCCCTTGACAAAACCTCTTCTGGCTGCATTACCTTCTTTCTTCCTTTCCAACCTTTCCCTCGTACCTCAGACTTCCATCAACAGACCCAAAATTCTTTATTTCTTACATCTTCCTTCCCAGATATCTTCACTCTGCTCTCATTACCTGTTCCCTAGATTTTATTTTTATTTTTCGGGGCCCTGAGGGCACCAATAAGCCTTAATGGTCTTGACCAGCCCCCCGGGGCCTTCCCCCACCCTGCCCACAGCCCGGAACCCCATTTCTACCCCCCAGGGCCATCAGCCCCTGCCCC